GGAGACGTTGGACAGTGCAAGATATGACAAAATAATAATTTATAAATTATCAAGGGTTCATGAGGGAGGTGGGGGCAGAGAGGGAGGGGAAAAGTGAGGAGCTGATACCAGGGGCTTAACTGGAGAGCAAATGTTTTGAGAATGATGAGGGCAATGAATGTACAAATGTGCTTTACACGACTGATGTATGTATGGATTGTGATAAGAGTTGTATGAGTCCCTAATACAATGATTTTTAAAAAAGCTCATGAGACTAAAATAAGCTTGATGTGTTCAGGAAATATTGCTCAGTATGGTATACAAAGAGGGTGAGAATAAGGAACAGAGATAAAAGGTCCAGAATCTGATTATATGACTCTATCAGCCAAGGTCAGAATTCAGATTTCATCCTGTTTCACTTGTCAGCATTAGAAAGTTATGCACCCCAGACTAACACTTTGAAAGATCACTGAGGCTATTTTATGAATGATGGACTGTAATGAGGGAAAGCCAGCATCAGCTAGACAAAATGGAAGGCTATTGTAAGAATCAAGATAAGACACTGGCTCATATAATGCTGAATTGAGAAATGAAGATAGTGACAAACTGAATGGAAACAGTACCTACAAAATTTTATTGATGGACTGTTTGAGAGGCACAAGCAACAGAGTGGTTATTTGTGCTATACACTTGAGACAGGGTGTGAAGGTCTGTGTGTGTTGGAGGCAAAAGCTCCCCCGCAATGTTTTGGGCTTGCATTATGTGACTATTAGATATCAAAGTGGAGAAGTTGAAAAGCAATTAGAGCCATGCGGCCATGCTCAGGGGCAGGTCTAGGCTGGAGATATAAATTTGAGCATCAATATATAAATAGTTAGCCACGGCACTGAATTAGTTGATCCATGCAAAGTATTAAATATACTAAGTAAGAGCTCAAGATTCAGCTCTGGGACATGTGAATATTAAAGGCTTGACAGAATATATAACCAAAACATAGATCACTAAGGAGAAATGAGAAAGGAAAAGAAGGAAAATCAGGTGAATATCACAGCATGGAAGCTTACAGACCTTGTGGTCCAAGCATTATGCTAGTGAGAGGTAAAGTAAGATGAGGGCAGAGTTGGAGCAGGTGAAGTACTGCTTCATAATGACACTGGAAAAAAGGTTCATCGACGGAGTTTATTGCAGCTCTCACAATCAGAGATTCAAGTTCCAAAACACCTAAAAATGGTGCATATTTCAGAATTTTGGCTTTCGTTTTTTCATTGAATGTGTATAGGTGTGTGATTCTGTAGCCTTATATTAATGCTAGATTGAAAAAAATTAACCTTAAGAAACGAATACTGTCATCTTCAGATATGCAATCAAAAACTTACAATTCTTTTAAATTAGTTAAAGTTACAACTATTCACCTGCATTTCTGCAACACAAATGTTTAAAAGAACGTGTTTGAGAGAAGCTGATGTCAAAAAGACCTATTTCAACAACCGAAGTTGCACTGTATGTGTTTTTGAATGAGTATAAATAAATCCTCATTTATCATTTTCTGCTGAGTTTACACCTATGTAAGACTGGAAATTACATTTTCAACAGAGCCCGCATCCGCCATTGCATAAGAGCAGCTTCCCAATTATCTGGAAAGCCCTTCGGTACTCTCTCTAGCTTTCTAGGGCTGGATAGTGAGTTTAAGAAACCAAGAGAAATAAGATAAGTGACCACTTTTCATACCTTAAGTGAGACAACCGGTACCATGTAGAAGAAAAAGAACTTGAGAGGGAAGGATAGTGGTGACATCAAGTTGTTTGAGAAATGAAATCAAGAATTAAAAATAGAATTACATTTTCTAGTTGGCAATACCCAAACAATGCTAAGTGCACTTCATAAATTTTACTATTGTTGCTCTAAGTGATATTACCATAAATCACATTAGTAGTATACTTGGCATGTTTTAAAAGCAAAAAGAATTGAAAATGTCAATAAGTTTAAACAGCTCTGTTATCTCTGAAGAGAGTGGAAGAGGAATTATCACAAACTTTGACCACATCTAGGAGCCCAGTTTGAATGCCCCCATCTATGCTGTCCCTCGCCCTCTAGCTTTAGCACAACACAGAGCATCATTTTGCCAGCCTTATATTAGAAAACTGTTCATTGCTGGTTTCTTTTAAAAAAAAACTTTTTTTTACCTGATGTGCAAGAGGAGATAGCTGTTTGACCCTTTTCTCATCTCGGACAGGAAAGAGAGACTTAAGCAGCTTTGGCATCTGCGGCACAAAGGATTTTACTGGATTCAAGTAGGAGGCTGCTAAGCTACTAAGGCCTGTTAAAAAATATTAAAAGAAAAAAAATACGATAAAACAAAACAATTACTTAAGCATCTTTTTTTCTGTACATTTGCCATGTACCATTTGTAAGCAAATCTATCAATATAAATAAAAAAAGGTATCCACAAAAAATATAATATGGAACAGGGAACTAACTACAATAATCAACACATAATCACCCCCACCCCCCAAGAGGACCAACAACAGAAACCATGGGGGAAGGGAGACAGCAGTCAGTGTAAGATATGAAAATAATAATAATTTATAATTTATCAAGGGGTCACGAATGTGGGGGTGGGGTGAAGAGGAGCTGATCTCAGGGCTCAACAGAAAGTAAATGTTTAGAAAATAATGATGGCAACATATGTACAAATATGCTTGGTACAATTGATATATGGAATGTTATAAGAGCTGTAAGATCCCCCAATAAAATGATCTTTTAATAAAAATAAAATAAAGTCAGAAAAATATATATAATATGGGAAAACACATTATTATCGTCTTTGTAATAATAATGTTTTCTTTTCCAACTGAAAAATATAACTAAGGTACATCTAAAGCACTCTACCATTCAGTGTTACTATTAGTGTTCGATGGGTAAACCACTCTGGGTCCTTAACACTAATTAGGAAAGTAGTAATTTCTGCCCTCAAGTCAAAGTGGATTCTGAAGTTTAAATCACATAGCTGAAGACACACATATGTAGTTCTCCCTCTAGACTTTAAATTCTTTGAAATCATGGACTATGTGTTATATTCAATTAATTTTCCTGGACTATTACTGAACACAGGGAATCTAAGTGGTTAAAATCAGGCTTGGATCTTCTCACCATACTTATGTAATCTGTACACTCAGAAAATAATCCCTGAAACTGGCCTACACAATCCCTGAAACTGGGCCATCAGGATTGGAGGAAGGCTTTTTAACATCCTGTAAAATGCAGATAACCCAACTTTGCTTGGTGAAACCAAGACAACTTGAACCATTTACTGATAAAGATTAAAGACTGTAGCCTTCAGTTTGGATTAAAAGAGAAAAAAATTTACCTAACCAAACAATAAACATCATGAAAAACAGAGAAAATATTAAAATTGTCTAGGATTTCATTGTGCTTGGCCCACAATCAATGTCCATCAAGAATGCATTGCAGTAGGCTAATCTGTTGTACAAGATCTCTTTTAAAGTGTTAAAGAGCAAAATTGTCACTTTGTGGCCTAAAATGCACATGACTTAAGCCATAGTACTTTCCATTGCCTCACATGCATATGAAAGCTATACAATAAATAAGGAAGACTGCAGAAGTATTTGAATTAGCATATCTGAATTATGGTGCTGATGAGAATACTGAAAGGACAGTGGACAGTCAGAAGAAGAAACAGATCTGTCTTGGAAGAAGTATAACCAGAATGCACATTAGAAGTGAGGTTGGCAAGACTTTGTCTTACACACTTAGGACACATTATCAGGAGAGATCAGTCCTTGGAAAAGGACATCATGCTGGATAAAATAGAGCGGCAGCAAAAAAGTGGAAGACCTTCCACCAAAATGGGATTGACAAGAGTTGCTGCAACAATGGGCTCCAATATAACCATGTGTGAATGGAGCACGACCAGGGTCACTATGATTAATCACCGACTCAGTACCCAACAACAACAACAACAACACATATATATATATATTTTTTCAACAACACATATTTTGAGACAATTGAGGAAACTTAATTTTTCAATGGTTTGATGATATTAAGGAATTATAAATTTTTCTTAGGAGCGAAATGTAATTAGGATGTTTTTTGAGGTACACATAGAAATATTCACAGATGAAATAGTATATGGAATTTACTTTAAAATAATTGTAATATAAACAGTTTAATAAAATTACTTATTACAGATAAGATAGTTTATGAACTGATCACTTTGAAATTGGAAGCACTACAGGCATACTAATTCTATTTATACTTTCCATAGTAAAAAATGAGAGCAAACTAAATATTTTAATAAAGGAAATAGTTGCCACTAACAAGTAATTGCTAAAAGAATTAGTGATAAATATAATTCATTATAAAGACAATAAAATATGGAACAAAATAGGTATACATTGTTTCCATGGAAAACTGATATGCTCTGTAAACTTTCATCTAAGCTACAATACAACATTTAAGAAGAGAAATCCTGAAGAATTCAAGAAGCAATGATTACCAAAATATAGTGAGATTTAAATCAAGTAAATGTTAGTTATACATTTTAAAAGAGAGAAAAAATAACAAAATTTAGGGGATTTAAGTAAAGTAGTACCCTGTGAACCAGCAATTTCATTTTTATGTGTTGACTCAAGAAAAATGCCCACAAAAGAAGGCAAGAATGTTTATAGCTACTTTATTCATAGTAGCTAAAAACTGGAAAGAGCTCAAATCTCCATAAATGGGAGAACATAAATGTAGTAAATTCATACAGTGAAACACTTATCAGGAATAAAAACAAATGAATTACTTGTATCCATAGCAGAATGGACAACTTGCACACATACTATAATAAGCAAAAGAAGCCAGAAACAAAACAAGAATACACGGTCCATGTTTCCACTTACATGAAACATGTCAAACTAATCTGTAATGATAAAAATGGGAATGGTGTGAAGACAAATGTGTGCATAAGCAAATGTGGTGAAGAAAACTGATGGTGCCTGGCTATCAAAAGATATAGC